GGTTGCGACCAAATTCGAGCGGAGGGCGGAACGGATTAACTGGATTTACATTGAACCCTATGGGGAAATTCACCTCGGGTTGCGACCAAATTCGAGCGGAGGGCGGAACGGATTAACTGGATTTACATTGAACCCTATGGGGAAATTCACCTCGGGTTGTGACCAAATTCGGAGGGCGGAACGGATTAACCGGATTTACACTGAACCCTATGGGAAACTTTACCTCGACTTGAGACCAACTCGAGTTGCAACCAGAGTCACGGAACAGATTAAGTTCGTATCCCGAGGTACCACTGTACTGTGGAATTATTTCTAAGATCTCTTAGATCAAATGCAACAGAATATCTTTTCCCCTCTCTTTACACTTTCATAAACATGTTATTTAAATATTAGGTAGATGGAAGTTAGTTTTAATTACAGTTCTCTGCCATGAATAGCGTGCTTTTAATCTGCAACAACCATACATCCCGAAACAGCCCTTGCAACTTCAGCACTGATACCTGCAACCATTAGTGTGAAATCAAATCCTTTCTTCACAGATTTCCGGTGGACCTGATTAGGAAGTGTTGCAAATCCCACATATTCTTTATCATCCTAAGAGAGAGGAAAAAGAAGAAAAAAATCAGTGTTACAAACTGCCAGGCCTTTTGCAAGAATCATTTGTTTGGAATAAGTTTTTAAAAGTTATTTTTAGTTATAACGCATCCAGTTCTCAAGTTCTCAAGGCAGGTAGAAGCCTTTAATCACAGAACACAAACCAGATACCTGCTGCATTCTCACAATAAACTGAACTTGGTTACAGAATTAATCTATTTCTGAGTTCACATAATACACTAAATAATACTAACTGAACAGGCTTTCTATATCGCAATTAAACTACAAAAAGCAGTAACTAAGCTTCACATGTTGTGGAAATTCACCCACTCAGTCTTTAACTGACTTGGTTAAACGCACTTTGTGAATACAGGAATGGTACTGCTGGAGAGAAACAATTCTTATTAAAGCATTTTTACAGATGACATAAATCTTCTGTATAAGACTCAGGAAATGGATCTGTGTGCCTTTATACACCCACTGTTCATGTCAGTGGGTCACCATCTGATTAGCAAAATAGCCCTTGTTTTATTTCCATGCTTTCTCCAACATGGGAATGCCAATTATATACCCAGCCTCAAAAGCATCATTTGGGGGCACTAATTTAATTACTACAGTATTTAAAGCCCACCAAAACATTATTTCTAGGGGAAGCTTACTCCCCATCATAAGCAAAATACTTCTATCAGCAGGGGTGGGGATTCTGGGTTGAGTATCCCTGCACATTTCAAGGATCCATGACCACAATCTCATGCCCTTTTCTACTAAAGGGAGATTAGAAGATTCAGAAAGGGGTGGAGGGTTATGGCAGAAGTGCTGATAGAGATGCGTTACCTCATCAGATTCATACGGGTCAAGCCTGCCCCAGGGGCTTCTGGGACGGGATGGGCTTGGCGGTGCTGGAGCAACCATGTGCTGCTGTTTCAAATCTAGAGGCTTAGGGCGGTAGAAGGCCTTCTGCTCCTTCTCCTCCAAGGCATCTTTGGGAATGGCCTGGACTGCAGCACTAGGGAACATTTCAGTCCCACCCCAACTGGATCTTTTCTCCTGATGGATGTCTTCTGGCTTCACACGCTGGAAGGTCTTTTCAGTTGGGGAATCCTTGAGGAACTGGACCAGCTCGGTGTCTTCTGAGTCTTCTTTTAGAAAGTGCTTTATCTGGGCAGAGAACAAAAAGAGAAAACAGTACTTGCATGAAGAGATGGACCTCGGTGTTGTATCATTTTTTCTACCTTTCCTTCCTGCTACTTGTCGTTTTTAATTTATGGTTTAATATTGATTTCTAATACTGTACTCTAGGATCCTTTCCTTTCCAGTGACTCTCTCGAAAGCAGCAAGATATTCTTTCTTTCTTTGTATTCACACATATGTGCAACTCTAGCTTGCTTCTTATTTAACTTGTTGTTACCTAAATAACCCTTTTCTCTGATCAGTATTTCTTGTCCAGAACATTCTGGGATAGCTCTGTATCAAAAAGTTTTGTGTTTTTTTTAACAACTAACTGCTCTGCAATCATATCACCTGAACATCCCTGGTAATTAATTCACCGTCATCGGATTCAAGAAAGGAAAGGAAAGAATCACAGAACCTCTTTTGATCCATAAATAATACATGCATATTATTCCTTTGCACTATTGGGAAGACAAAGGATAGTTCAAGAAGAGTCATACCCTAGGAACAAGAACTCAGCCTGGGGGAAGTGGGAGACTAAACTGGGGTCTGCAGAGGAAAACTCAGGATTAACTCCATTGTGTATGCAAAACTCTTACTGTGTGCTCCTGGGGGATGTTGGCAGGCTCTTCAGTCTGCCCAAAGTGGCTGGGATTAGCACCCTCTCTCAGGGCACCAGCAAAAGGCATCTCTGCTTCATTGGGCTGCATCTCCTTGGAGTCTTCTAGGGCAGCCATGGTTCCTTCCACCTCCTCTCCCTGAGTCGAGAGGATCGGGCAGGGCAGGTGATGAAAAGCAAGAGAAGGTGGTGGAATGAGGGGTGAAAGGGAGCAAAAGACAGATAAAGCAGATAGAAAAGTCCACATCCCCCAAATTGGATCCCACAGAGGGAGAGTGGAGACTGCGGTGTCAGGCAGTGACATAAGCTCACGTTACTAATCAGCCTTGAATCCTAATGGGTGTCATTGGTCCAGAACCTTCTTACAGCTCAACATACAACTCAAATGTGCAGGTCTAAATGCAGGAAACCTGGTTTGGAAATAAGACTTCCAAAAAGATTGTAGAATTGTAGATGATAGCACACTAATACAAGGCAGCAGTGTAATGTGGCCGCAAAGAAGGCAAACACAATTTTAGGCTGACCCAACCAAAGTATAATTCCCAAATCACAAGAACTAAATGTTCCATTCTATTCTACTTTGATCAGACCCCCACCTCAAGTACTGCAGTCAGTTCTGGACACCATACTTTCAGGAGGGTTCAGAGTAACTGGGAGAATGAAGGATAAAGGGAGCAAAAATTAAGCCCTATGAAAACAGACTGAAGCTGCTGAGAAGGTTTCCCCTTGAGAAAAGAATAAGGAGGGAAAAGATGCTAGCATTTTTCAATACCTGAAAGGATGCTATACAGAAGAAGGTCCATACCTGCACACTCTCATTCTAGAGAGTAGGACATGCAACAATGAATTAAAATTCCAACTGAACATTAGAAAAAACTTCCTAACAGTAAGAGCAATCCAACAGTGAAACCAATTACCTAGAGAGTTGATGAGCTTCACTGGATGTGTGGAAAAGGAGACTAAACAGGTACCTCTCCGGGATGCTTTAACTTGATGGCCCAAATGGCCCCTTCCAATTCTATGATTCTATCTCACAAAATCATAGGATATGAGTGCACAACTTTTGTTTCAAGGACAACACTTGCCCTTAGAGTGACATACCAGTGGTTCTGCTCCAAAGCGGAGGAGAAGCCAGGAAAAATTAAATTTGACTTAAATTAATTTAATAGTCCTAGTTTAGTGACTGTCTCATTTAGTGACCATTGCAGTTACAATGGTGATGAAAAAGTAACTTTATGACCAATCCTCGCATTTACAACCTTTGCAGGTCTGTAAAGCAAAGGGAAGCTGAAGTAAGATCATAAGCACAGTTGCAGTTTTACTTAACAACTGCTTCCCTTAATGACCAAGTTGCAGCTCCCAGCTGTAGTTGCTAAATGAGGACTACCTGTAAATGATCAGTTATCTCAGGAAGGCATAAGTGGGAGTTGTATGTCTGCAATGTTGGTACATATTTTTAGAATTAGAATTATGTTGTGAATGGTATATCTTATTTATGGTCATATTGCAGCAGCAATAGGTGTCCACAAACTGGATAGGTCAGAAATTGGAACTCCCATTTGAGGATCCCATCTCATCTGAAATCAGGCATTTCTCAGGAAAGCATTATGGTGAGAATAGTTGAGATACACCAGGTCTCTAACTCTGAAAAATCCACTTGAAAGGGCCATTGCAAATAACAATACCCCACTCCTCTCACTGGAGTATTCAGCGTAAGAACAGCCACAGAACCTACAGGCACTCCTGTTGAAAATACATGATAGGAGGTTAGGATTAGAGATACTGTATTGTGTAGAAGTGGAGGCTAAGTTAATATCAGCAATATTGTATTGTACAGAAGAGGTTAGCATTAGTGCTATTATACTGTGTTGAAGTGGAGATAAATATTAGCAATGTTGTGTTGAAGTTAGAGACAGAGATCGAGTGTTGGAATTTTCACAGTCTCTATCTATCACATAACTTATTTTTCACTTCCTTCACTTTTACAGTCTGCCATTTATTACTATTAAAGAGTGTCTGTTGTTAGGTGCTGGAAGAAGTGAACGGTTGTATTGAAGATGTTCTTTTCTACTATATTATTTTAAGGCAGTGTTTCTCAACCTTGGCAGCTTTAAGCTGTGTGGACTTCAACTCCCAGAACTGAAGTTAATGCAAACTTTCACATGTCAGCAAAAATCACTCCTCTAGATGTAAAAGATGTCTGTATTCATATAACAACATGTTTAATCAGGTCAGGTAAAAACTCAGCATTTGTACAAGCTGCTTAATTAGACTTAGCCTTGATTATTATTAACTTCATTGGTTTTGTGGCTTAGCATGGTGGTGAATGTAGTTTCCTTGCCAGTGAGAAGAATTCAGACATCCTCTTAAGCAGACCGCAGGCTTGGAATCCACATCTTCAGAAGGGAGATGCTTCTGACCTGTAGAGACTGAGAGATTCTCCCAGGTCCTCCCTCTTCAGGGGACACAAACAAGATTGTGTGTGTGTGTGTTTGTTTTAATGAAGCAAAAGTTGTTGGATGGTGGTTCAGCATCCACTATAGTTCTGGGGAGCCAACCCATTTGGATAGTTCATGGATCAGTGTACTGTCCAAACCCAGAAGATGGGTCAATCCAATAACCAAATTAAGGGTGCTGCCAGTATGTAAAAAAGCAATTAAAACACTGTAGCTACCATAACTTCAAATATTAATAATGAACAGAAACACTGCAATCATACCCAAAGAATCAGTAAACCAGTCTGGGTAACCTCACCAGATCATGGAGGTTGCAAGACTCAGAACAAGATCTTCTTAGGACTTTTCCTTGTTGCCAAATTAAAATGCTCTCCAACCATGCTTGTGTTGGGGGGAAAAACAGATCTAAATTTGTTGTCCCTGTTGCCAATCCCTAACCTGCGGCTATTTCCTCTGTTCCCAGTTACTGCGGTCCCCTGATGTCACTCAAGGTAATGGGTGGTGACACCTAAGAGATTTTACCCACCTTGAAGCTGCCTTTCAAAAGCATCAGAAAAGGGGGAAATACTACTTTTACACCACTACAGCTAAGGACAACTTAAGCCTTACTTGCTCTTGGGCTGGGAATGAGAGGAAAACAATGCCCTGGGGACCCAACAGAAAAAAGAAGTTGCCAGGGTGTGTTCGTGCCATAATTAGGTGGAAGTGCAAAGAGGTCTTTAGTGAGGGCCCTGCAATTGTGACAGGCAACACCCATGAAAGCCTCCGCTGTTCCATGCTCACCCTACCTTGGATCCAATGAGAGCTCTGGAGCCATCTTGCTATTGCTGGTGGTAGCTGCGTTTTTTATCTTTTCTTCAATTTTGCCTGGATTGCTTTCACCCAACAATTGTATTAGGTGCACACTATTTGAGGCCCAACACATGCAAGCATCCCCCAAAAGCTGCCGCAGAAATGGAATTTTTATTGTGGCAGAAGGAAAGTAACCCTAAAGTTTTACTTATCTACGTTTGGTATCATTTAAAAAACATTATGCTATTTTTTTTTCTTGCCTCAGCTCACTTTTTATTATGGTCCCATCTATTTTTGGCTTGTAATCCCAACATGCTACTCAAGGCAAAAGATGCTCCTTGGCTTAAGAAAAACTGCTGTTTGATATATATCTTTTGAAAGTCCATTTTCTACAATGCCTCTACAACAGTCCCCTGAAGGGGGTCTAAAACAATGAAAACACATCAAATGCAAAACTAAGCAAAAATCATAAGCCTTCCTCATGAATTGGTTCAAATCAACTTGATGGTTGGCTGCTAAAATGAATGGTCTGGAAGTTTGGCTTGGAGACATCTACACCTCTCCAGTTTCTCTGGGGAATTCCAGATGTTCCCCCAATCCAAAAGGATAGACTTTGAAAACATCAAACTACTGAACCACCTATATTAGTCTTACAGCCCCTCAGGTATAAATTGTTCACAGCTCTGCTTTTGGAATGCATTTTCATTGGAAAGGCCATCAGAGATCGAATGTGGTTTGTTTTTCCTCCCCTCAGGCCATTGTCCAATACCTGCTCTGCCATTTAACTCAAAGTGGCCATCCTTCCTCAACTGGAAGTTGCTTTTTTTGACAGTGACTTGGGAATAAAGGCAGCATCTTCTGCTGCAGAGTGAAGCAAGGCAGGAATAAGGTCACAGTGACTCTCCTTTCCCCAGCCATCCTGCACCATCCGAGTAGAGCTTGGCTTATCCATCCTAATCAATATCATCCATCATGTCTGTGTAATTGCTACAGCCACCCATTCAACCATGACCTTGAAAAGGTTGTGGAATGGTTTAGATTGCATTGAGCCTTCCTGAGCATTGTTGC